CTATCATCTATCTATCTATCTATCTATCTATCTATATTTATTTATGTATCTATTTATTACAGTTTTGCATGTTACATGTTGCAGTATATGCAGAAGAACCATATTTCATTCTTGCATGATCCTTAGAGGAATTCAGTGCTATGGAAATTCCAGATTTTTTTTGTCCAGTATATGTCATCATTACACTGGAAAAAATATTGTTCCTTATGATATGGATGGATCACAGGTGTGCCAAAAGGTTAGGTTTGATCCACAAGCTATCACAAGAAAAGAAAAAAAAGTCCTTAATCTATTAATACACTTACCTCAGGTTTCTCAGGTTAATTACAATAAATCAATACACGTTAGTAGGATAAACATATAAAAACAGAAATTGAGCAATACCTCAGCTGAGTAACTAATAAAACACTACACACTTTGACTTTGATTTGAGAAATGAAATGAGGTGGTGAACCCTTCACATCTTCACAATGAGGCTACGTCCACACGAAGCCAGAGCTTTCCCTATCCGATCTTTTTTTCCCCTCGTCTCAAGAAATATCGGTGTCCACACGAAACCACAAAACCGACACAAAACGGTGTGTATACATGCCAGACCAGTATGTGGCGCTGTAATTCTGCCACAGAGATACACTAAAAATGGAGAAGAAGACTTGGACTATGCGCATAAACCTTGCGCACGGTATACAAACGAACATGGAACAATACATTTATTAATCTGTGTTAATGTTAGTTAATAAAAAGACAATCGTTCAGTGTTTGTTCATGTTTTTGTTGCTGTTACGTGACGTAGCGGTGTCTGATTAGGGGCGAGGCGTGGGCTGATGACGTCATCGTTTCAGAAAATACGGATTCGCTGTCCACACAAAAACGCAAGGGCGGCGTTTTCAGATTAATCCACTCTGGGACCCGGTTTCAAAAAATATCGGTGTCACTCTCCCAAAATGCCGGATCTGTGTGGACGAAACGCCTATACGATACAAAATGTATGCGTATACAGCTAAGCGCGTCTCCGTGTGGACGGGGCCTAAACCTCTCCTTATTAAAATCCCCACTCTTAATGGCATGTCCCTTAGGACAGCCTGACCCATCATTCCCCTACTCTTTGACCATGTTTCATCATCATTAACTTTTTTTCTTTAGGTATTGCTGAAGCCACATTGTCCAGCATGAAAATGGTTGCATTTGAATTAAATATGGCATAATCATAAATGTCTTAATTGCATGACTACACAGGGTAAATTAGATCAGATCTAACAGTCATCAAGCTAATATGAAAGCCAAAATGTAAACCCAGCTCAAGATTAGAAGCTATATCGGCATCTCACTCGCACTCACACACCGCGCTCCCATGGCTGCATTGACAGCTAGCTGTTCATGGTTGTTTTTGTCAGTTAATTCCACAGTAGTGTAGTAGATTCCACAGTAGTGTAGTAATAACAGGCCATGGCTAAGACATGTCATTTAAAAAAAAAATTGAAAAAAAGTGCAAAAAACGAGTGTGACAATGTCTCTGAACTATTTTGTGTGCGTGTGTGTGTATGTGTGTGTGTGTGTGTGTGTGTGTTTTCTCTGAAGGAAAGTTGTGGAAGTGGTTTAGTAAGTAGAGCATTCCAGGTGAGAATGCAAAAGCATTTGTCACAAAAAGAAACCCCAGAAGTCATGTACAAACCAGAAAAGCATCTACAGTCCATCATTATTTACAATTCAATTCATACATTCATACACACATTTGCAATTTGTTTGGTGGTCGAACAGTTGGTCAATATATTATCAGACCCAATGACATAGTACTGTACAACCTCTGCCACATGTAGGTGTGATGTGAGTAACCAGCCAAATGGCAAAATGCTTCAGTAAAATTCCTAGAATTATTCTTTATTTATTTTTTGCTTTTGTTATAGGCCAGTATAGTGCAGAGAGGAAAGTAGGAGAGACAGAGAGAGGAGGACTGGGGTCATGACCCTGGCTAGACAACAGCTTTTATATGCCCCGAGTATGTTCATGTGCCACAGCTCTGGCAAGATGCTTAGGTTATTTGACAAACAATTGTTTTGCAGTTTTAGATGGTTCCCCTCATATTTTCAGCAGAAATAAAACAGTAATGAATACTACGCTTCCCTAATCCGTTGGATTTGATTAAATAAGCAAATAGATGCATTTGACCAGTTATATGCCAAGATGGGAGCTCCATGGGAGATCAAGACATTCAGACCAAGTGGCTGTGTAAACTGTAATTAAAAAATCAGCAGCATGAAGCCGGAGTGAAAACACTGTGCCGGAATGGTCGCCTTTCTGTGAATGCCATGGTAACATTGTTATTTATTTTGGAGGAGAGATGATCAAATGATTTTTTTAAAGAATAGACTTGATTACACAAGGGGCAATATTAAGTAACAAGAGCAGTGCTTCTATGATTTTGCAATCATTCAGTATTTTCAGAGCCCTTCCTATGAAAGTACTTTATAGGCTTAACCAACATTTGGTATTTTGGTTCAGAGAAAAAGCTGCACCATAATAAACCACAGGCTAGTCTTTCATTGCTTTATTAACCTCTTATTGGAAATCCCATTTTATGTTCACAGTAACACTTTGTAGGAAGCTGAGGAATGGGTTCAGAGGGTACAGTATAACCAATCACCGACAGAGTTTTAGCATGTCACAAAATAGTAAGGGTGAATGACGATCTAGAACTTTTAAATGTTAATGTTATTACACCTTTAAGGGTCTAGGGGCATGTGCAATATTCCTGTATGTGATGGTTAACACAAGAAACAAAAAACATATTTCATGTTCCCTAGAATCTCATTGAAATGCCTTTCTGGTGAATCTCACAAGAGGAAAATGCAAGTTGAGCATTACTGAAAAGATAATGACACTTTTTATAGCTTTTAAAGCAACCTGGTCCCAAACTGAACTGGGCTTTTTAGACAACCGGCATATTCACCATTTGTATGATGTGTGATGTAACTGAAAACAACATTTTTTTCAATATAAATAATTTCTATATTATTATTCTTTAAAACATGACTCTAAATTTCTAATTTCTTACAAAGTGGTTAGTTAAATTAATCAAATGCTGAATTACTTTAGTTTGAAATGGTTAAATCATCAGTATTTCCTGTGTGTTCACAAAATGTTAAAACAAATGCATTCATACAGGCAGCTGCAGCACAGTGGGAATCTCAGCTACAAGGCTCTTTGAAGCTCTTTGTGTGTTGGAATGTTTCTATGGGTTACTAGATATGAGCCATTGTGGAGCTTTCACTTTGAAGTGTAACTGACACACTCAGTGGACTGAAATGAGTTGTGCTGCTTTAGAGGACTCTGCTCAGAGACAGCGCAAATCAAATAGAGTTTGGCAGCTGCTGTCTCTGCTGAATGCTGGAGAGAAGTGGTGTACAAAAGAAGAGAAAGGGGGAAAAAGTCAGTCCATTAAATAGTCCAGCTGTAGTTCCGTCTAGTTGGCATACAAATCTATTGATGTATATCTGAGTAACTGTGGCTTCATAGTGCAACATTTTAATTTAGCTGAAGAAAGAATTGAAGTATATCTATAGATTTCCATGTGTAGGTCTTGCCTTTTTTTAAAGTTTTCTTTTGTAAAAATTTGCAAAATAGCACATCTTGTTTGTCACTTTAGAATAATGGTCCATCATTAATAGGTAACTATGCGGGAAGTAATGCAGGACAAATAAGTGGTGCTACATATGCATTGCAGGTACTCTTATTAACCTACAGTATATAGAAACTTAAAAATAGCAATTTTAGGACTGAGATAGACTAATTATAAAGAATTGCCAATTAATTACTAATTAAAACATTAACATATTTCTGAAATGTGAGCATTTGTAACAGATGATGAGGCCCAATTGCTGACACACATTAATATTGTCACATTCCACATGAACATACATGTAAAATAAAGGAATAAAAGGCAACATTAACATTAAACACATTGTTTTCCACAACAGAACAACATTCTGAACACGTTACACTACCCCCCTCTTACTGAAGTCCTCGATCCCGAGGACAGAGTCTCTGAATCTGACTGGGGTCCTCCTCTGTTCATGGAGCGTGTGAGTTTGACCTTCAGGTGCTGATTCCTCTGAGTCCTGTGAACGATCGCCCTGAGGGATGTCAGGCAGCGATGCCACCTGCTGGCTGCTACTGGCCATATCAGCTGATTCAATTCCCTTCTCCGACCCGCTTGGAGTCTCAGTGTTCTGTGAAGGAAGTACTGTGCTGCCCTGTGGCTATGCGGTGCCCCGATATGGGGCCAGCCTATCCCTGTGCAGTACCACTTTGCGCCCCCGAGGAGGCAACTGCACACGCTACACAACCTCACCCAGCTTTTCCAGTATTGGGCATGGTCCCACCCAGTGGCTGTATAGCTTCGGACACCTCCCTCTCTTCCTCATTGGGCTGTAAACCCAAACTAGCTCCCCTACCCCAAAGTCGCGTCCCTGGGTATGCAGATCATAAGCCCTTTTCTGCCACATTCCTGCAGAAAACAGCTGCCTCCTGGCATATGCATGGACGGAGTCCAAGCGGTCCTGGAGCTGTCTTGCATATTCAGGTCCAGCAGGAACATGTGGAGCATCTGGGGGCCGACCCAAGGCCAACTCTGCAGGGGTCCTAATTTCCCTACCGAACATGAGCAGTGCCAGTGTGCACGATGTAACGTCCTGAATAGCAGAGCGACATGCCATTAAGACCAGCGGCAGAT